TTAAATGGTGATCACTATATTTGCCTTAAAGACCAATTTATGATAACTGACAGACTGACGTGTGAAGTACCGTAACCTCGTGGAAAACCCTTGTGTTTATTTGCGAAAGCTATTTTTTAAAAAGGCCCCAGGACTACCCATATAGTTGCAACTATGGAAATATACTGCTAGTAACTCACTTTTTTTTGCTGCTTAGGCTGTTATAGTTGGGATTCACATCACCCAAAAATAAGGAACGTAGACTGTGGTGATCATTTGTCTTCTCCCCATAGACAGCAGAGACAGACAGACATCCTCAGAGGCTGATTCATCTTAGGTGTCAAAGATCCCCTACCAGATGGCTCCACAGATCTGCTCTCCAGATAGTTCAAAAAACTGATTCCTTCCCACAGTAAAGACATTCCCTGGAATAGAAAGGTCCTGCAGGATCAGTTTGTGTTCTCTTCTCCTCTCTGCATGTGAACTACAAACCTAGTGTGTGGTCTATTTGTACAACCTCCATATTTGTATTCCACCTACCTTTTCAGTTTATTCTGCCTCACAAAATTAAAAGACTGCTATAAAGATTACCATTACCTATGTTAAATTGCAAATAGAATCACTAAGAAAGATATCTTCTATGAATCATAGATTTTGCAAAATGCTAACACAATAGCATTTGTTTTCAGTACTTATTCATGAGCCCATGGGCCCATTCCCAAGTCTTAAAAGCTGTCCATTTTGTGACACCGGAGAGCGAACATGCAGGCAACCCAAGTGCTGACTATCCCGCTTGAGTCAAAAGGAGCTGCAACCTGTAAGGCAATAATTACATTGAATCTGTTTATCAAATTATTTTATCTTTATGGTTGGGTTTCTTTCCTATCAGTTTAACTTATTTCAATTCCAATATTTCCCATTGCCTTCTGCTGGAGATCATTGCCAGGGTACAAAGAGCAAGCAGTGCATTTTCTCAGATTAAACAGAGAAAGCAGAATGAATCACTGCTTCATACAGTCTTTTTTTTGAAGGAGAGCCAAGAGAGACATTGATTTAAAGAGTAAAGTAATTGGCACTTCAAATTTTGATCTCACATATAGAAAACATAAAAGTTCAAGAGAACAGAGAATTCATCAAAATTGATCCAGTGTGACGAAGTACCACAGAACTTCTGAAAAGTCATGTAAAGTAAAGGCTAATCCAAAAAAATTTCCAGCCTATGAAATTCAATCATTTCTTCTTCTTGGAGGAAATAGAAAAAAAAAAAAAAGAGAGAGAGAGAGTTTGTATTGGTTTGGTTTTGTGATTTGGGTTTGGAGTTTTTTGTTGGTTGTTTTTTTTTTGGGGGGGGGGGTGTTTGTTTGGGGTTTTTTTGCCATTTTATTCAGGTTAAAAAGAAATTGGGCAAAATAGGTGAAATTTACCTAAGAAACTTCCTCATGTATTTCAGCTTTGTATTAACCTCCAGTAAAAGGTCCAGATTAGATCACTGCAGCAAGTCTATTTGATTTATTTAAATGCGGTTGGATCAGGTACATGAATAAAGAGAAGTAGTCCAATTTCTAGGATTGAACTCTCTGTCTCAGTCTAGTCTCTGCTCTGCTGTATTAGCAATTGCTGACCTTCAAGATGTGCTACAATTTCACATCTATTTCCCAGACTCTCCATGAAGAAGGAGGAAGCAATTCAGTTGTGTAGATCAACAAAACAAATACAAATCAAGATACAAGCATTCCAACAAGCTTTTTGAACCTTTTTTTTTTAAAAAAAAAAAAAAAGAGAGAGAGAGAGAGAGTCAGCGGCAATAGAATCTCTCCATAAAAGCAGAGCAAAACTGAAATAGCATAGGGTACTCTACATTAAGGAGGAAATTGTAGATTCTCAAGGTGAGAAATGCTTTTTTTTCTGGTTTTGCATTGAACAAATGCAATTGAACAAATCAGAAAACTTTTGTCTGTAACTGAGAGGATGGTAATGAAGAGTAGACCTGGCTGTTTTCCTCTTTGCTTCTGGGCCATAGTATTACTCAAATCTTTCAAGTGACAGTTAGATGAGAGCTTTGGTATTAGGGGTACACCAAGACTGCATTTGTTATTTTCCTCTTTTTGTAATTTTGTTTTCATCTTTGTATTCCGAGACTTAACCTTCTCCTTGGTGGAGTATATATGGAGGGTAGCTACTAAATCTTACCCTCTATGAGGATCAAATTTTACAAAAATTAGATACCCTGCTTCTCCAGCAGTCACCAGTCATGTACCATGGCTTGTGGAAACAGAACCTCTGGGAACACCTGTTATTCAAGAGGAGTTTGGGAATCGCTGGCACTGGAGTATGTCTCCTGTTAAGCAGCCAGGGTCATTTGGGGGGCTACTGCTACTATGTGCCTACCTCCAGGGAAACACCCCACTCCAGGCAGAGACCAAAGTATCTGACACAAGAAGCACCAGCAACGCAACTCAGCCACCCCCAACAGGTTAGCTCCGTAACAAACACTGTGCCAAAGAGGAGGGAAAAGTGCAAAATCCTCACTTCTGGTAATAAAATAGATTCTTATTTATTTCTAGGAAACAGACAGATGGCTATATCCAGTTTAGAATAGGGAAATACATATTTTTTATTCCTTAGTAAAGCAGTGGGTTACTAAATAGCAGCAAAGCAGGAAACTTGGACCATTGGCTGTAGATGTATTGACTGATGAGATTGTTAAACTGCTGTTTTCAAAGTAGGATGCTGGGTAAGTCCTCTGAGATATGGTGACTGTCCGAAAGACTGAACAGAGAAGACAGGAAATAAATTTTTCAATATTTTCAAAGGACAATGTGCTGAAAACGTAACTATAGGTCTGTCCATTTAATGCTTACCCAGGGCAAAATCTCAGGAAGGGAAAATAGGATGTGCTCAATGAAGAATTAAGGGTGAACAGCATAATTAATACCAGACAATGCGGTTTAATGAAAGAGAAAACTTTAAAGATAAATAAGTTGCATTCTTGTTGTGAATACTAGTGTGACAAAACGTGCATTTGTTAAAATAGCAGAGTTATATAAGGCCATATGACTTTCTCATTATTTTTTTAAAAAAAAGCACTATTTAAACTTCAAAGTCTAGGTAAGCAAATTAAAAATTTACTAGAGAGATTTTAAAAGAAAATACTAAATGGGAATGCTATTTCAAAAATAACATTTCTGGTAGGGTTTTCTTATCCAAATGTAGTTCAGGGGAGTTTGTGGATTGGGAGGGAAGGCAAGAGAAATTGGTGGTAAAGGCTGTGGTTGGCACTAACTGAATGAGAGATAAAGATAGCTCCTAGAGAGAGGTCCAGACAGCAGGAAAATCTGGGCTTGCCTTCTTTTAATTAAAGAGCTAGGTGCAAAGATCAAACAGCTAGGAACAGGGAATGTGGGCTGTAAGTGAAATAAAAAATTAATTAATGTTGGCAAGGAAAAAACCCACCCTTTTTTAATGAGAGCAGACTGGAGAGAGTTCAGATGAGATCCCTAGAATGGTTTGAAATTTGGAAAGCCTTTAATGAGAGACTGAAGGAGCTCAAGTGAATTTTCTCTCCTCTTTAAGCTTGCATTTCTACCCAGCCCCAGTCACAGCAAATGCTCCTCTTCTGCTAACAGTGTCAGCATCTGCTGCGTGCCTGCCCATGATTGCTGGGGCTGAGGTGACTCCTTAAGGCCAGGACAAGCGAAAGCATTCATTCCGGATAACATGAGACACTTACAGGTTCCTCCTCCACAGGCTAGGGAGGGAAGTGAGCAGTTCAGACCTCAGATGCACTGAAGCTGGAGTCCAGGGTCCTGCAAAGCTATCCAGAGCTGCCCCAGGGAGCAAGAGGAGAGCTGGGAGAGGGCCACCATGGGCAGAGCTCGAGAGGACCAGGACTGGCTGTTGCTAACAAGAAAGGAGGGTGAAAACGAAGGGTTGACTCCAAGATTTAGACAGAAAGAAATAATTTGAGATATTGATTTAAACCACTTCTTAAAAAATTAAAGAAGTGTAGAATTACTGTAAACAAGCTACAAATTTTTTTTTAAAAAAAAGAGGGTTGGAAGCAGTTAAAATTAATTGGGGCACAAAAATTTTGGTTTATATCTGCAGGATGAAAAAACAACTCTTTCTTCAATTGGTAGCTGAAAGTGGAAATGCTGGCTGAGGAAAGAAATGAGCAGTAGCAGAAGATGAAAACAGCTATGTACAGATTAGGGGACCATCGCAGGACAGGTGAGGTCCACAGGCACCTCTGGAGGTCATCTAGTCCAATCTCCTTGCGCAGAGCAGGATCACCTACAGCAGGTTGCTCAGGACTGTCCAATTTTGTTTTGAGTATCTCCAAGGATGGGGAGTCAGCAGCCTCTCTGGGCAACCTGTGCCAGTGCCTGATCATCCTCACAGTAAAAAAAAAAAAAGGGGGGTTGTGTGCTTAGACAGCATTTTTTGTATTTTAACTTGTGCCCATTGCCTCTTGTCCTGTCATTGGGCACCAGGAAGCACCTGGCTCCATCTCCTTTACTCCCCCTCTTCCAATATTTACCCGTATGGATAAGATCCCTCTGAGCCTTATATTCTCCAGGCTGAACAGTCCCAGCTCTCTCAGTCTGTCTTCATATCAAAGATGATCCAGTCCCTTCATCATCTTCTTGGCCCTTTGCTGGCCTCCCTCCAGCATGTCCATGTCTTTCTTTTACTGGGGAACCCAGCACTGGACCCAGCAATTCAGATTTGTCTCGCCAGTGCTGAGTGGAGGGGAAGGATAACCTCCCTTGACTCATTGGCAATGCTCTTCCTCATGCAGCCCCATACCAAGATGGGAAAGGATGGGATAAGTAGGGGACATAGAGAGGAGTCATGAAAACACATCCGCCTCTCAGAAAGGAGAGAGACATGATTGCA